CAATCTTCCCTCCATTTTTATGACTGTTGAAACTAATATGTTATTTAGCATCTATAGTGATAAATTCAGCTTGCCGAAACAAAAAGTCGCGTCCAACTCTATATTTCCTGGCCTATGTGGAGAAACACCATCTTGTTGGAACCAGACATCACCAGCAGGCATATCGTGCTCATTAGGATTAGGAAAAATTAATTCCAGGACTGGAATCAGCTGAAAACGCAAGAAATCCAAATAAATGTCTCCTGTCAAATTGCCCTCAAAGAAATAAGATGCGATTTCCTCCTATTCCAGCCCAAACATTCACTTTTCCGGACGTTGTGTATGTTTTTCTTGCATCCAATGCGGATTTTCCGGTTTCGTTTAAGCAAAAAGTTGCTTCGTTAGTGAAAATTTTGTAATTTTTATAAATTGGGTTGTCTTTCAAATAAATTTCTAATTTTCTCACAAAACTGCAATCTTCTGTCTGTATCATCTGCTCATAGTTCTTGTAAGACGTTAACTTTGTAAGGATGCCACTTTTGAGACTTCAGAGTTGGAACTAAAACGATTCACATTATATCAAAGGTACTGTAGTATAACAACTCCGGGTTCGATCGAAAAAAATAAACGTAGTTGTGGCCAAAAATATGTGATCGTCATAAGGAATACCTAGGTTGTATATATCTATTTTTAATTGATCGGAAGGCGCTAGCTACTAACTTTAAAGAGGGAAAGTATGGTTTAATTTTATAAAACAAAAGCAAAGTAAATACACATAACTTTATTATTTACGTACAACAGTCTTCAAATTAAACATGTGACAAATAGAAAGAACAACAAAAACATTAACAACTATTTAACATAAAATGAGAGTGCCAGGCTCACCTAGAGCTCCACGATCGTTGCTCCAACTACCCAAATATAAATACAAAACAACCGATAACAAAAGGCATAAATTAAGAACCTTTGCTAATGATAATTATCACCCGACTTATTTAATTTCTCACTAAATGTCATCTCACTCGAATACACACTTCCAAGTAAAACTGAAGAGGTTTGGTGTTAGTTAGCCGGCCGGGCCGGAAGGTATTGGATTCCCATGCGGGAGGCAATCCAGCTATTGTTGAGATTTCGGAAGATTTGTTTTAGCAATTCTTTTTTTGTATTTAATTATTCTTTTTTTTTCATATTCGTTCCCCACGGGCGAAAATGTTAGTGAATTCAACAAGGCCCTTATATGCGCCTTGACATAAAGTTGAGCATAAGAAATCAAAAAACAACGTAATCATGATAAAACAAGTTAAATGTGAAACAAAGGAGTTGTTATTGCAATATCCGGACAGTCACGACAATATATACATATTTTAACATGTAATAAATAATGAGCAATCTTTAATAATAATTGTAACAATTTTACGTTAGAAAAATATACGCCCCTGAGCATAAGACAACGAAGGCTAAACTTATACAGAATTATTATCATGAAACGTCTATAAGCATCACAATCATAAGATTACATAGAACAATTAACAACAAAGTACTTAGAGAATAATTACCTGCTAACTAATACCGTTTTTTTTTAATTTTTCACTATTTTTGACACACTGCCCGCCGATCGTCTTGTTACCTATCTGCACACCGTCCGCACGTCAACTATCTAGGCTTCCTTCCAGAATTTCCCACCTAAGCGTTTGTTTTTGTGCTTCTTTCTACCAGCTGTCAATATTACGTTTTCATTATCGTACAACACCCACGTAACAGGTGACGTCGAAGTTGATACGATAAGTACGGTTTTGCACAGTACTCTGGGAATTTTATGTGTTTATCGAAGTGATTTTTTTTGAGAAAAAAATCTTTAAAGTATGTAGAAAAATATTAATGAAAAGTAGGTACGTTTTTTAAAGTACAGAAGAGCCTATGATTATTTGAAATAGTCGTCAGTACGACATAAAAGACAATTTTTTACATTTTTTTTTTGACAACTGTGACAAAAAAGTAGGTATAACCTTATATCACTGAATTCATCTTTAGAAGGACTACGTATTTATAATATAATATATAGAGCGTTCGATTTAAAAAAAAATACCGCTAATCATATAAGTCTGTCAAACATGGCTCAAAGAATTAGAAAATATTTCAGAAAAGTGCCAATTTCTATTTACTATTTGACCTGTGGCGATTTTTTCAAATCTGATCTGGAAAAAAAATATGAATTTTGTTCCATCATTATTCGGTCACTAACCTAGTTTTTACTGCGTTTTTAATCTAAGAAATTTCAATCTGTTTTGAAACTACGCACTCTCGTCTTTAGACTTTCTGTATCAACTATTTTTTGTAAGACTCTTGTAAAAATGTCTTTGCGACTACATATACTTCTCTGTTTATGTACGTATGTCAGCCCCGAATCACTATCCTTCAAAAGCAGCGCGATTGTAATGCTAATCTCGTCCTCGTCCGATGGACCTCCATTCCTTATATATCAAGGTACGAAACCCGCTTCCCTCTCATATTTCCTACTAAAACCGACAAAAACTTTAAATTTCCCCTTGCTAGAACGCCGCATAAACCACAATATCATACATATTTTAGTGCGGTTCGTCATTCCCGGTTTGTATTTGCTGAAAGTTCTTTTTTTATTAAATTTCTCCGACACGTCATTGTGATGCGGGAGGAGCGGCAACTTCTGAACTTCCAGCCAAACTAACCCGCTCTACTTTGTTTGGAGTTTGTCCGTGTGACAGTGGATTAAGTTAAAAGCTACAATAACACCGCGAGGTGCCCCGGGGGCTTTTGAATATATTTTCCGTTTCCGTTTCTTGTCCCGCTCGCTCATTTCTGAATTAACCTCTATCATGGCCCGGGGGCAGGGGGAAGGACTAATAGTACAGAAGGGGTGCCGTGCCGGTGATAAAAGTCAAGGAAGGAATTTTAACTTTTTCAAAGGGCGCAGTGGAAGCTTTAAACTCTAATAATCATTCGAATTGGACGAGATAAGGACTGCAACATTAAGTATGATTAAAAATATTGTTGTGCAAACCATACTTATCATATCAACTTCGACGTCACCTGTTACAGGGGTGTTGCACAATAATGAAAACGTAATATTGACAGTTGGTAGAAGGAAGCGCAAAAACAAACGCTNGCAATATGCAACTGATTATAAATTAAAATATAAAAGACAGATACTTAGTTACCAGTACTGGTGATTAGTTGTGATATTTAAACTAGTCCAGTACATTATATTTAGATAGATAGTGTACCTTACCGGGTGGTTCAAATTGGTCGGTTTCCAAGGGTTTCCACTACGAATCTGTCACAGGTAGAGCAAATCTGATAGACGAGTCCAGAGAAAATAACAATGGCGCAAACCGCATTAGGTTAACGTGAATACTCATGGATCTTACACTAAACCAGTAAACAAAATTTACAGCAAGGCTAATCGAGAAGAGTATGAAAATTATGCTCTATACTCTATATGTATCTATAGCATGTAAGATTATTAATTGTAACAACTAGCCAAATAGAAGTAAATAGTGGTGTTACACAAAATGTGGTACTAAAGATTTTGAAAAAATATTAATTTTTTGAGTAAATTATTAGATAATATTTAAAAATCGACACTATTATATTAGATGTTCAAATTATTTGCCTTCTTCTGATATAACTCTGGCAACGTTTAGTAACACTAGCAGAAGCATTCCTAATCATTAAAGGTATTATTGTTTGAAATGCGTCTCTTGTTCTGTTCATCAATTCTTCAAGGGTATTGGATGTTTCCTTATAAATAATATTTTTTAAGTAGACCGACAACCAAAAATCAGGTGGTGCAACACCGCAAGCTCGAGAGGGCCAGCGAATGGGTCTATTTATATGTATATAAAATAAAGTATTTTTGAGATAAACACTGAAAAATAAAACTCACCAATCAATTTTTCCGGAATCAGTTCATCAAGATATGCCCTAGTTTGCCGAGCATTGTGCGTAGAGACGCCATTTTGTTGAAAATGTTGTATATATTTTCAACAAGACAAATGTCAAATTAATATCAAATTATTTTCCAGTCACTCCAGTAAAATTTTCATGAAAGAAATATGGTCCTATTAAATGGTTGTTAATCAAACCGCACCCGATCTTAAATCCAAATCGACCTTGTCTACGTGTCGTGGTGGTAGCATGGAGATTAGTTTGAGAACAAAAATAGTGATGATTATTGTTTCTATTAAATATGCCGTAGCTACTTTATAAGACTCATCTGTCCAAATTATATTTTCTGTAACATTAGGGTTATGATTGTACTCCTGAATAAACCAATTACAAAATTCTCGTCGTCTATTAAAGTCTGCCGGGTACAAATGATGATTTATTCTGATTTTATAGTGTCGAAAATGTTTTTTAAGTATTCTGAGGGGTATTACCTCTGTTGTAAATTTTGTTCCTTGGTTTAGTGTAAGATCCATAAGTATTCAAGTTCAATTTAAATTTTTCGTAAGTTTTCAAGCTCGATTGTGGCTTCTCTGGACAAAATTTAATAAATGCATGTCAAATGTATTACGTTAATTTTACTACATTCAAATTATAAATACCTACTACTGAAAATTGAGATCCCTTACTAAATCTTCATTTTCATTTCTTAGATTAAAACATTTTATTAAAGTCTTCAAATAATGTTTTATGAGTTTGCACGTCTGAATGTGAATTAATGTTTTAGTGAATTTATAGCGAATTTTGAAGATTTTTATTGGTGATCCTTACATCAAACTGTTGATAATAAAAAGGGCAATTCGGTGCACTCATCATACTTGGTGTAAAGTACCTTTTAATTGAGAAAACTGCATTATTTTTATGAAAGTGACGATAAATTGATGGAGAAAAAGTAATCTGTGTGATAAGTTTTTTGCGACAAAAACTTTCCTCGAAATTCTTTAGTTGTACAGATCCGGACTGGCTCGTGATTCATTACTGTGGATCAACAGCAACAAATAATAGTGGAAGAAATATTTTGCTTCAAATGTAAGAAAAAAATGAACGAAAACGAGAATTCGCTAAAATGCCAAGGTTTGTGTTCACATTACTTTCATCATAAATGTGCCAATATAACTAGTAGACAACTCGATGTCATTGAAAATTGTAATGGTATAAAATGGTTTTGTGTAATCTGCATTGCCTATTAAGATCTTACTTCTGAACTTTCTAGTGAAATTGATCAATTAAAATTACAATTCCTAGGTGAAATTAATGATCTAAAGAGTGTTTTTTATTCTTGCATCGAAGAAAAAAAGATTAATCTACCAAAACCACTTAAGACTTATGCGGATGTTGTTTCTGAAGAAGTGGTAATCATAAAACCTAAAACTAATCAAGAAAGTAAGAAGACCAAAGAAGCTATACAAAAGAACTTAAAACCAGCTAATCTTGAAGTGGGAATAACGAAACTTAAGAACATTAAGGAAGGCGGAGTACTGATAAAATGTAAAAATAAAGAAGAACAAGAAAAGATTAGAAAGGCCGCAGAAAAAAAGTTAAACAAAAATTATGAAGTCAAGGCTCCCATTTTAAAAAATCCAAGTATAAAAGTTTTGGATATTGAAGAGAAATTTAGTCCTGAAGACCTTCTCAACTTGATAAGAAAACAGAATGTATCAATATTCCACGATAATAGTGAACTAAATGTTAAAGTTGTAAAGAAGATGAAGACAAAATACATGGCTATTATCGAGTGCGATCCTGTGACATTTAAAAATATTCTCGATCAGAATGCCATATTTATTGATTGGTCGAAGTGTAGAGTTTTTGAGTATGTAAACGTCTCCCGTTGCTTTAGATGTGGTGTATTTGATCATCGGGCTGACAACTGTAGGTATCAAGACAAATGCATGAATTGCGGTGCTTCGGACCATGAGTTAGAAAGCTGTTCAAGTAGACTTCCTCAGTGCTTAAATTGTTTGGAAATAAAACTGAAGTTTAATTTGGACATTGACTCTAATCACTCTATCTATGATAGTAACTGTCCTGCTTATTTAAAAAAAATTGAGAATCAGAAGAAGAAAATTAAGTATTTTACAGTTGACAAGATGTCTTTTTTAGACCGAGAAAACCAAGTACGGCCCTGAACAATTCATGTGATTTTAGTGTACAAGGTAACAGTAATGATTATATTCACGATCAATCCTTAGAATTAAGCAATGTTCAGTTTAGTGGAATTTGCCATTTTAATGCCAGATCAGTTTCAAACAAATTTAATGATATAAAATCATTCATTCTAAAAAATTCATTTTTAATTGTTGGAATCAGTGAGACTTGGTTTTCAGCTGATATTGATGACGACGTATTTAATATACCGAATTATAATTTAATAAGATCCGATCGTATCACAAGAGGTGGAGGTGTCGCGCTTTACATAAAATCTTCGGAATTCAAATCATATTCGGTATTAACAATTCCAACTGATGGTGTTTATGATATTGAATATTTAATTGTAAAGTTGAGAGTAGGTTATCGGACCTGTGCTGTGGGTGTTTTTTATAAGCCTCCTGATTCTCATTATTCAAATCTTTGTATTTTGGCTGATGCTATACAGTACTTTATGGAAAATAACATTAATAATTTTGTCTTTATTGGAGACTTTAATGTTAACATGCTAACTAACGGGCCTGATTCTGTATTCCTCAATGATTTGTTATTGAGTTATGACTGTAAACAATACGTCTCTGATCCTACTAGAGTGACTGCTGATACTGAATCTTTACTTGACTTAATTATTTCGAACTCTGATTTGTGTATTAAAAACGTTGAAGTATTAGATATTTGTTTCTCTGATCATAATGTAACATCTTGTGATATTGAACTAACCAGTAATGTGCCTAAACCTGTTGTAAAGGAATATCGTTGCTACCGTAATTTTAATTGGGAAGCTTTTAACCGCGATGCTGCCAGTATAGATTGGAATCAAATTTATAATATTAATTCTTTGATTGGTAAAGTAAAATTTTTTAATGAATCTATTACGAGCCTCTTCGACAGACATGCTCCATTAAAGAAGCGTACTTTTAAAACTTTTAAAAAACGAGAGCCATGGTTTACTGATACCTTATGGGAAATTAGAAAACTTAAAAATAAAGCTTGGTTAAGATTCAAAAAAAGTAGAAATGCTGCACATAAAAAATTTTTTTGTGACATTCGTAATTACTACGGTATTGCTGTAAAGCGAGAACGTGCTGCTTTCTATGCCTACAATATAAATAGCATTAAAAATGACTCAAAACAGCTATGGTCAAAATTAAAATCGTGGGGCGCTGTAAGTGATAGACTAAATGAAAATCTTCCTGACGAGATCTGCAATGCTACTCTCATTAATAATTACTTCATTGACTCTACACCTAATTTAAATGTTAACCAAGATTACATCTCTCACCTTTATAAATCTATATATAAGAACAATTTACATTTTACATACACACCTTCAGATATTAATAATGTTCAAGATCTTATTATGAAACAAAAATCTCATACAATGAGTTCAGATGGTATTTCTGGCAAAATGCTTCAGTTGTCGGTTAAATGAGTATCGGCTCCACTTACACACATAATAAACTTTTCATTCGAGATTGGTCAGTTACCGGAACAATGGAAAGTTGCTTGTGTTAGACCATTACCAAAAAAGAAAAATCCAAAACAGTTGAAAGATCTGCGTCCAATTAGTATGCTCTCTGTTCCTCTTAAGATTGCTGAATCTGTTATTTTTGATCAATTGTTTAAATATTGTTTTGAAAATTCAATAATTCCTATAAATCAATCAGGTTTTCAGAAGGGAATTAGTTCTTCAACTTTATTGGCTAATGTAACTGATGATATTTTGACAGCTATCGACAATTCTCTGATTTCGTCTCTAACTTTACTTGATATGACTAAAGCATTTGACTCAATTGACATCAATTGCCTTATTGCTAAACTTTATTATTATGGTATTTCTAGCAATATATTGTGCTGGTTTTGTAATTACTTACACGGTAGAGAACAATATACTAGATTAAATACAGGTTCCTCGATACTAACATCACCTTATAGATCAGTTGGTTCTGGTGTTCCTCAGGGATCGATATTAGGACCACTTTTATTTAACATGTTTACTGCAGATTTGTCGAGAATTCCTTTGAATTGTAAACTAAATATGTACGCTGACGATCTACAACTCCTTTATAGTTTTAAGCCTTCTAATTTAAATATTGCCACAGCAGTTATTAATAATGACTTACAATTAATTCATGACTGGACCATAAAAAATACTTTGTTAGTTAATGCTAATAAAAGTCAAAACATTCTATTTGGAACATCAACTCAATTGCGAGGTCTGGATAACTTTCCCGTTTTAATTAACAATGAAAATATTCCTGCAGTCAATGTTGTTAAAAATCTTGGCCTGACTTTTGATTCATCGTTGACTTTTTCGAATCATGTAACCGTTATCTGTAAGAAAGCTTTTCTATCATTAAAACAGTTGCAATGCTTTAAAAAGTATCTAAATCCTCAGACCAAAATTTTACTTACTGAATCTTTAGTCTTATCTCATTTGAATTATGCTGATGTTATATATGGCCCCTGCCTTTCTCAAGAAAATAAACACCGTTTGCAAAAAATACAGAATTGTTGCGTCCGTTTCATTGCGAATGTACCCCAGTTTAGTCACATAACTCCATATTTACGTTCCTTCAATTTGTTGAGCATGTCTGAGAGGAGACTTATTCATTTTGCCAGTTTTATACTCAATATTTTAAAAAATAACAAACCTACATATTTATGTGATAAAATAAAATGGAGATCTGAAACACATAATAAAAATTTGAGATCACTGAGTAGCAAAGCGTGTATTCCTTCACATAAAACTGAAAAATTTAAAAATTCATTTTCGTATTTAGCTTCTTATGTTATTAATAATTTACCCCTCCAGTATCACAATTTGTCAGTGACAACCGTTAAACATATGTTAAAAAATAATATACTTTTTTCTGACTTGGTACTTTTTGATGTATGTAGGTTTTAACTATATCCAATNACTAAACACTGACCTAAATAACATTGCACATTTCTTAGATTAAAACATTTTATTAAATTGTGTTTGTCTTCATTTGAGTAAAGAACCATTTTTGATTTTTGTTAACACGCTTCTAATAATGTTAAACGTCAATCTGGTTTGTTTTCAAAGCGTTCTCAGCCAGAAAACTTACTGGTATTTTGAAATTTTATATTTTCCGCAAGTCTAAACAAATAATAATAAATAAAGTATTTTTGGAATACGTTTTTAGCCTTGTTTCCATTTTTGAAATAAAGTACAAGGTGTCCATATAAAAAAAAACACAAAAACTAAAAATATTACCAATTTATTTTTATGCCATGAAATGTATCTCAAGAGTGTTCAGTTTTAAGATATACTGAAAGGGAAACGAGAAATGGGCACCAGTGGGTTTAGTCAAAAATTCAGAAACGCCCTTTAACTCGAAACGGTAACAGATAGAGAGATGCGGTTTGCACCATTGTTATATTCTCGAAAAAAAGAGCTCTGGAGTCATCTATCAGATTTGCTTTATCTACATATTATAGATTCGCAGTAACCCTTGAAAACCGACCAATTTGAACCACCCGGTATCATATTACATAATATTAAAAAAGAAATATCATATGAAAATAAAATTCTAGCTAATATTAAAGAAATCACTGAAAATTTATACGATGTCTACTGTGATTTTGAATATATGAAATGAATAATTTTGTTTTCCAAAAAAGACAATACTGTATTGCCAAATTTCAAAGTTTCCAAATATTTTATTTTGTATTAAAATAACCTTTTTAAATCTTAGTTTGTTTATAAAACAATAAATTCCATTTATCGAGTATAATTTTATAAATTTTCAGCAAAATAATGGTTATCACTATTTAATGAAGTGTCACTTATTAAATATAACAAAATTAAATGAAATGAAACACCGGAGAAGGATCTGCACGAAAATTAAATTAACAACTCCTACATTTCTACATCTCCAAGACGAATGGGCCATTCCACAAAATTAAAAAAAAAATGAGAATAGAGCACACTAAGAAACGTTTAGGATATTTTTTTTTTGTCTAAATATGTTTTTCTAATTGAGCTTAAGACAATAAAAGGTTAAGGTTAAAAAAGAAGATTGTTAACTTGTTAGGATAAGGGTGATTTAATGGTTGGAGGTCTGTTATCACTGATAATTACATTCTCTAAAGAAATGGTATGTAAATTATGTGTTATAGGTACTATACCGCAATAATAACAATTAAAATCGTCCTTAAAATTATTTCTTCCAAATTCCAAAAAAGAAAGTTAAGCTATCGCTATGGATGTAAATCGCATTACCTTCGATGGAACAATATTGTGTTTGCGAAGACCACTTCAATTTAAGTCGAGTTTAAAAAATTCTAATTTACAGTTTCGACATAAAAAATTGCATTTCAATATCAAAACGTGACAAATTACTTGAGTAAGTCTTTTCGATATCATGCCCAGTTTTAATTGTTTTTAGTACAACTATAGGAAAACACAACTACACACAATTACTTTAACTAATTACTACCAACTGTTAAATGGGAGAATACAAAATAACGTCAATGAGTATTATCACACAGTTGATGATCGCTGACGTAACTAACTGTACGCAACTTTTCCGTAACGTTTTTGAGAAGGCGTGCCCTTAATGGCTTGAAAAAATAACTATATTTTTGTTCATTATTCTGGTTGTATTCACATGTCATTCGTTAAA